TTCTCAACACACCACTTGCCTAGCAACTACACAAGAGCAGCACGAACTGGTACGGTTCACTGCAATTAACAAAAAAGTAACCTCTTTCAAGCATGCTAATTTTCATTTTGGTTAACAAAACAACCAGAGTCACCCTGTGGCCACACAACCTTTGGACCCTGTGGAAGGTAGAGAATGAGAGGAGGCCCAGCAACAGGCCAGCAAGATCTGTTTAAGCATAGCATGAAGTGCTAAGGATAACTCACATGTGGTGACTGAATCCTTGCAGTTCTGTGGCCAGACATTTTGGCACATCTCTCTATCTCAGCTACTCATTTTTCCCCACAGATGCACCAGCAATTTACAGACCTGGAAACTAGAAAGATACCAGAAAGCATTCAGCATCCAACTGCACTCAACATCCTTAATATACTTCAGCTGGAACCATCCTGCCAGGAGAAGAACAGGCTACAAACACTTGAAGAAATTCTCCTCCAAACGGCCCTTCTGACCTGAAGATTAGGCTGTAGATAGCTATTCCTTCCCCACAGCATGTATTGGTACCTTTACTTAATTTCATCTGAATGATGATTGTTTCAAGGCAACGTGTTTGACAGCACATTAATTAGCAAACAAGAGGGTAAATGTTTTTGTACTTATTGCTTTGAATTAAAAAATTGTTTTCAAGAGCAAGACAAACCAAGTTTACAAGCAAAGCATACACGGTTACATAAAAAATCACCACCACACTAAACCAGATATTCCTGATGACAAGCCAATCAATATGCTATAATAATAAGCTATGGCTTCAGCCACCCGTTCTCAGATGTCTAGTAATTCTAAGGGTAGCTGGATGTTTGGAACTGTTGAAGAACAACCAAAGTATTAAAAAGAAAACACCTTGAAAATTACAATGAAAGAAACCACTCTAATCTGTAAAGTAGTAAAAGCCAAAAGAGACGACCTTGAAGGCAGGTAGTAGTAGTTGTCTCCTGTGTGCCTCAGTATTTGTCCCACTTAATGTAGTTACAGTTAAAATCTAAAACCAGAACCAGGGAACGCTTGCTCACTCTTCTACTTGTACATTTTTGAGTCCTTGCAAGGCTCAAAAATGAGGGTTGGGAAGGCAGACATTACATGGATAGACAGAAAGGCAACTACCAGCACCCAAGACAAATACATCCTCCTGTGGGCCACTATAACTCCCTTCCAACAGTCCTGACTGCAACTACACTGAAAACAAAACGTGTACTTAAACACAAGGGTAGAGAGAGCATCACAAAATAACACAGATGGGGGAACTTTCATTTTTAAGTGAGGAGGGGAAAAAAAAAAAGTTAACAGATTACAGCAGACAGTCTGCTTTAACAGATTGCAAGAACAAAATGGCCATCTACTTTGTATTTAGGATGCTTCACATCTTCGCTTGGCACAAGAGGATAGTCTGATCTCATCCATACCAGGCTGTGACTGACAAGTACTCAGTGTGTTTACTACTAAACACCGTCTCAGCAACTGATGTGTACACAATTGCTCAGAGCTTACAAATGAGAAGAATGAGCAATCAAAGCAAACGAAAAGTCAGGAATAGGCTCTATTATAAGTTAATAAGACGGGCAGCCACAAACTTAAAAAGCTATTCCCACCATTAAGGACTAAGAAGATGACAAGGCGTACCACTTTCAGAAGTTTTCTGAGACTCTGAAATAAATTACTATCTTCTTGTTGTTTTTGGAAGTGAGAAAAAAAAAACACAACCCTGCAGTAATTACTCTAAAACTGTTGCAATAGCCAGTGTGTTTTAGAATTAATAACGACCTATACTTATTACAGCGGCACTCCATAAACACAAAACTTTAAAATGAAAGGACGTTTTAGTTATGTACTTCAAGTCTGCTTCTCGACAGAAAGACGACATGCAATTAGTACAAGGTATTTCACTTATTTAGAGACCTAACTATAATAGCATTTACAGAGCAAAGGGAAAAGATTTCATTAAAATGAAGTTTTGCCAAAGATTATTATGTGGAACAGTAAATTTGAACCACTCCCTGTTTCCTGTGCATGACTCTTCAAGACAATTCACATGCAATTAAGAATTCTAATTCTCTACTAGCTCCATTCCCTAATTCCTTAAAGCTTTAACCAAGTTATTTTAGTGGAGCTGATTAACCCCAAATTGCAAACTCTCGAAGTGAACCAGAAGTCAATTTGCTTAGGACTTGCGTGTCAGAACAAGTCCTCCACGTCAAAAGTCAGCAGAGGGCACTGTGACACATCTACAAATTAATATTTTGCTGCTCTTTTGGCCCTGAAAAATAGGAGGTCAGTCAGGAGAGAGAACCCAGCTGCAGCCAAAAGAACTGCTGCTCCTTCACCAGTCAAAACAACAAGTATTCCTGATGGGTGCCCAAACACAACAACAGGGCTTCTTGGACCTGCTACAGACAGCGCATGATATCCACAGCTCTCCTATGCAACAGAAAGTCATCACACCAAAATTAAAACACTACATAAGAGTCTTAGCATCAGATCTTAGAAGCTATGTAGTGGTTAAATATATTTCCATCTTTCTTATGGTGTTTAAGGAAAATGTAGTACATGCCCTCCAAACTCATTACACACAAATCGGAGAAACAAAGCCACTGGAACAGGTATGTCCGGAAAGGAACCAGGAAGGAAAACAGATCAAATAAAGGAAGATAACATAATGGACACCGAGAAAAGACAAGGGGGACAGTCTCAAGACCATTGCAATTAAGACCTCTTACATCACACCACATCTACTTTTGTGCTACTTCCCACCTTCCTTTTCCACGTGAATTTTGCTCTATTAAGCCAAATCAAACAATAGTCTCAAAGCTGTCCAAGTTCTCACTGAACATTTCTCCCTTCCTGGGAGCTGAACACCAGCAAGCTAGATAAGTTCCACAGCTAGGAAACAAGGACACAAGAAGGTGAAGAGGACTTATAAATAATATTAGGGACTCCCTTTTTAGAAAAATAATTAGGGCACACAAATGAGTGACCAGTGACAACCTGAAAACCAAACTACACAAACCCGTACAATATGTTGTCCTTTATTGCTTCTTGCAATAAACCTGTGGATAGCAGTAGCTGTTCTCTTCATTCCCTGTGCTATTGATTAAACCCACGGAGGACTTAGTCCTCAAAATACAAAAGCAATCCTTAACAATTCATTTCATGGATAAAACAACTAACTTGACAAGAATCTGGTCGTTACAAACTAGCATCATTGGTATCACCCTTACAACCAACACAGTCTAAATTGTTAAAATATAAGTTCTCTCGTTGGTGCCTTTACATAAAGTAGAAACAGGTTCAGCTATATTAGCTACATTGGATATACAGAAAGCATGTGTGTATCTCCTCCCTCTAATGCTGTGTATTGCCCATGCGAAGACCACGTTGATAGAACACAAACAAAAATTCTTCCTACAGTCTCTCTCTTCCAAACCCATGTCGTCCTTGGTGAATCCTGGAACACAATGCTCTACTTTGCAAGTTTCAATTATCTGACAAGTCTCAGGGAGGGCAGGGAGAGCACTGCTACTTATCTAGGTGACCAGACTGCAGCAGGAAAACGTACGTGGCAGCATGAGAAAGCTTCCTGACGACAAATTAAGTTTTCAGATGAAATTACACCAGGCAGCTTAATGGGGATGTTTGTCACCATCAAAACAGGGAAATTCTATTCTCTTGCCTTTTAGGTCATACACTCCTGCTACATATTTTGCACTAATTCAGATGTTTGTTAGACTCCTTTGTGAGCATATTTATTTCATTTGCCTGGCAAAAAGTCACACACAGCAAATCTCAGCTCGAGCAACCCAATAAGCACCGAGGCCCCCACAGACACAGAGGTACTCAGCAAGGAGCACAAGGAAGACTCAGTTGCTCAAATATTACTCAACATTTGTTAGGGAACATTATTCAAATGAGCAAAATAACCTACCAGTTTCATGACGAAACAGCACAATGCCAAAAACAAGAGACCAGAGGTTGTACTGGAGTTTATTCCTTCTCAAATAGAACTTGAACAATGCATAAGATGATACTTTTCACCTAAGAAAGTCCACCCCTTTGGTTGGCAAAAAAAAATAATAAACTTCATAAAGATAGACTGACAGTATGTTGTGTATCTCTTCGTCAGCTGATAACCTATACTCACCACAGACACTCACTCTGTGCTCACAAGCATTCTCCTAGCCCTTTTAGCTCTGGTGAGAAGGAGAGCAGTTACCAAACAGACCATATAGGTTAATTTGGCTCAATTTACATACAACGGATACAATTTACCTGCGACAGGCTCCGGCAGCCTAAGCTTCTTGGCTCTGCAGCCCTGGGAGACATGCATTTAACAACGGAAGAAGCACGGTGGGACCCGGGGAGACAAATCTATGCTCACCAGGAGTCCGGTGCTGGTTTGGAGGTGGCTTCTGAGAGCAGGACGACCCTCCGAGGCAGCCGGCAGCCCACCTGCTGCCAGACCAGCCTCACCCTGCCTAGAGCCACCGCTCCTGCTACCTCACCCCTTTTCAAGACAGAGTTTGAGGGGGGTGAAACCCCCTCTGAAGCGACTGAATTCCTAACAGCGGAGCGGTTCGTTAGAGCAGGGCACTGCCAAGCCGCCGGTGGGTACAGCGCGGCGGCCCTTGGGCCCAGCCACCCACCGCCCTCCCTCTCCACCGCCCCGCCGGCCCCCGCTGCACCGTGGGAAACCGCCTCCCGCCCCACCTGCGCCGGCCAGGCCGCACCGGAGCGGCGGGGCCGACCGGCCGCCCTCCTGCCCGCGGCCCAACGGCGGCTCGACGCTGAGGGGGACGGGGGGCACGGAGCAAAGGGAGCGCCACCTCCCTCCCTCCCTCCCTTCCACCGCCCCCGGCCCAGCCCCGCTGGGGGAAACCCCACCACCGCCCACGCCCGCGGGCGATCAGCCGCTTCCCCCGCAGCCCTACCGAGGGCTGGCTCTGCCCGTTTTCCCCGGGCCCGGTACTCACACGACGGCCCGTGAAATCATCCAGGAGACCATCGCGGCAGCCACGGCGGTGGCGGCGGCGCGTCCCCTCAGCCAGCCCGGCCTCAATGGCCCCGCCCCCGCCCTCGCCCCATTGGCTGGGCGGCTGTGCGCGTGCGCCCTGGCTGCCGCGCGGGCTCGGGCGCGGCGGGGT